TTTTATCTGTCTGTATAGATGCTGAGGCTGGATTAGCTGGGCCCTCACAAGTGCTACATTTTCTGTCCCTTTGCCAGTGACGAGGAAAGCATATATATTTCAGGAGGAGGCAGAGGGGCAAACTCAGGGACTTTTAGCATCTTGATGGTGGACATATTTAACCACATGAGATGATGCAGAAGGGTGGGTGGCACCTTGGAATGGACACTGTAGGTTAGGAAAAATCATAAGAAAAGGTGAAATAGAAATGGAATATGACGTAAGAGGATGAGAAGAAATTAGACAGTGTAGGGAGAAGAAAGGGTGAGTTGTTTTTAGAATTTACATCAGGAATAATTAGTTTAATTTTGTCCAGATTTTGAAGCAATTAGGTCATCTGTTCCATTTCTCGGCTTTCAAAGGAATAAAATGTGCAGGTGCGTTGTGTAATAGCAGTTTTAATTGTAATGGCTATTTGCATATGTAAATACATAAACACAATTATGATAAAGCTGTAATTGCTCAGAATGCTTACATTTTATGAGGCATTTGATTTTTATTAATCATGCTATTTTGGAAGATACATTTGTGAAATTTTAAATTTTCAGTGAAGCCCTTTCTGTATATTTATGTACATTATTTGTTCTATTTCAATAAAAGTTTTAAATTTATTGCTTAAACATTTTGAGTGTGTCAACATCATAAAAGCAGTATTATGAAAATAAGATTGCACTCAAGAAATGGCAACCGAACCTAAAAGATTTTCAGTCTAACTTTTCAGAATAAATTTCCACGATAAGTTTAAGTAAGATTAGGCATTATGATATACTTCATAATTTGTGAAGGATGTTGTTAACTACCATGCTGCTTTTCTAATGCCATAACATAATTTCATTTCATCATTTTAGGTACGTGGCTTTTTTTTGTTTGAATAACACTCAAACTATATGAATTAATCTTCATGTTTTTATCTCTTACAGATCACTTTTTAATTCGGGCCTCTGCAGCTCTAGAAAAATTGAAACTTCTTTGTGGAGAAGACAAAGAATGTTCAAATCCATCAGATCTTCTAGAACTTTACACACAGGTACTGAAACAGATGTGGTTTCTGACAAGTTGTTGGGGCAGATTACTCATTTAAGAGGGTTGGCTCTGAAGTTTATGTGTATTGAAACAGCTTAAAATCAAAAAAAAAATTAACAACCCAATCAAAAAATAGACAGAAGACCTAAATAGACACTTCTCCAAAGAAGATGCACAGATGTCCAACAGACATATGAAAATATGCTCAGTATCACTAATTATTAGAGAAATGCAAATCAAAACTGAAGTGAAGTATCACCTCACACCAGTCAGAATGCCCATCATTAAAAAGTCCATGAACGATTAATGCTGGAGAGAGTGTGGAGAAAAGGGAACCCTGCTAATCTGTTGGTGGGAATGTAAATTGGTGCAGCCACTATGGTGAACAGTATGGAGGTTCCTTAAACAAATGAAAATAGTGTTATCATATGATCCTGCAATTCCACTCCTGGGCATATTTCCAGAGAAAACTAATTCAAAAAGGTACGTGCATCCCAATGTTCATAGCAGCACAGTTCACGTTAGCCAAGACATGGAAGCAACCTAAATGTCCATCCACAGATGAATAAAGAAGTTATACCATGGAATATCACTAAGCTATAAAAATGAATGAAATAATGCCATTTACAGCAACATAGATGGGCTTAGAGATTATCATACTAAGTGAAGTAAGTCAGAGGAAGACAAGTGTATGATATCATTCATATGTGGAATCTAAAAAAAAAGATAGAAATGAACTTATTTACAAAACAGAAATAGACTGACATACATAGAAAAGCCTATGGCTACCAATGGGGAAAGCGGAGGGATGTGACAGGGATAAATTAGGAGCTTGGGATTAACATATAAAGTAAGTAAACAACAAGGACCTACTGTATACCACAGGGAACTGTATTCAATATCTTGTAATAACCTATAATGGAAAAGAATCTGAAAAATAATATATATGTATATGTATGTATGTATAACTGAATCACTTTGCTATACACCTGAAACTAACACAAGAAGTATAAATTAACTATAGTTCAATTTTAAAAAATGTTTAAAATTAAAAAAAACAAAGTTTAGGTGTATTGAAATTAGTTTATTTTCTATTTAAAGTACTAAATTTTTTAAAACTGTATAAAGTACATAGACTTTGAAACTTTGAGGCAGTATATGGAGAAGTGAAATTTATTGGTTATGTTGATAAGTGAGGAAGAAAGTCTTGCAGATAACAGGATTGCTTCCCTTTATAGATAATTAAATAAAACACTCATATGTGCAGTTGCCAAGCTCTTGAAGGTTATTCAAAGGAAACAGAGGTCTCTGTAAGGGCGCTCATAATTTTTTTCCCTAAAATTCACATTTCCTTAGGATTCTCGACTTTTGTTATACAGGTCCATAAGATTTTTGTTTTCCCCTCTTTTTCTTTTACTTTCCTTTCAAATTCCGGTCTCTGTATGGAGAAGATCTGTTTTTTTTTGAACACTGCTGAGGCAAGATGATATTAAAAAATATAATTTTATTACAGTAACTACATTTGTGTAGCACTTTGTGGTTGATAGAGTGCTTCAAATGCCCTTACTTGATTGCCAAGGGATAATAAAGATGAAGTGGTTATAGAAAGTAAACTTAGTTAAGCTTCCAAAATGCACATTTATAGCACTAGGTACCCGACACTGCTTTCTTTTAGCAGGTACTTGAAGATGGTTTCTGCCTTCATATGTGGTTGAATGAGCCTATAATAGCCACTCACAAACTCCAGAGAGCTGTTGCAATTTAGCTGAACTTTGCCTGGCTTTCTTTCTTTCCAGAAGGCTTCCTGCTTGTCTTGTTTCTTTTACATGGGAGAGTTGTAAACATTTTAACTTATTTCTAAGAATAAGACAAAAGACCTGGGGATAATAGATTTATATTCCCCAAACCCCCTTTGGACCTTACGCTTCTGAATAAGGCCATTTTCCTTAGGTGATGATCTCTGCCTTCCTGGCTTAGGCCTTCTACACAAGATCAGTTAGTTACTACTTAAGTAGTATGTGTGCTAGGTAATGTTCTAAGTGCTTTACATTTGTTAATTCATTTTATCCTCAAAACAAAGGACTTTGAAAGGCATTTACTTCAGTCTCTTCATTTGCCAGGGAAGAAACTGAGGCTCTAAAAAAAAGATAAACTTGACTTGTCCTTGGTTGGTTAGGTAGAACTGATATTAGAACTCAGTTTCCTTAGCCTTAGTAGATTAAACAAAGGACTAGGATTGGGTAATTTTAAGGTTTTTGAACAAAAAGTCTTATATTTAGGGGTGCTGGTTTGAATTGCATAACGTTGGTGGTGCTGCCTTTGTTAGGTGACAGAATACGTAATCCCCAAATGCTGACTCTTTATTTGGGGAAACAGGTTATTCTTTGAAGATTCAATGTGCAAAACTAAAGATAGTGTCTTTATCTTGATATGGCAGGCATGTAGAAAATGTTCAGGAACTATTTATGTATAAATAGCAAAGAATATAGTAATTAAACTTTTTATAATTGTGTTATATGATTAGCTTATCTGAACTACAACATAAATCTCTATTTTATTTTTTGAGGGAAGCTAGATTATTTTAATGCATTTAGCATGTTATTAAAATCCTAAGAAGTTTTCTATAAAGTCCACCTCAGATTATGTTAGATATTTTATACTAGATATTTTGATTATTTTTTAAATTTAAATACTGTGCTAGAAGATTTAAATGTCTAATAAAGCATTTATACATATAAGATTAAACTATAAGAACTATTCATTTAAGTTCGAATCATTTGTAGCTACTTTTTTTCTCTTTTACTTCAGGCTATTTTGGACATGACGTATTTTGAGGAGAACAAGCTAGTAGATGAAGATTTTCCTGAAGATTCTTCACAAAAAGTGAAAGAGCTAATCAGTTTTCTTTCAGAACCAGAAATTTTAGTTAAAGAAAATAATTTGCACCCAAAAGTAAGTTTTCCACAACTACAAATTATGGTGGAATGCTGCTAATTCTTACTTTGCTATTCTTTAGAATCTGTACTTGTTTCTTCAAACATGTATCTTTGTTTTAAATGAAGATTGAAGCAGGGATATATGAGAGTTGAACACTTCATACCTTGTAAATATGTTTCAGAATGTCTGCATATTGGAATTGTATTGTAATTACAGTGCCCTGTCATTTTCTAAACACACATTGCTATTTCTGCTCCCTTCACTTTTGCAGATGCTGTGTTTTCTTGAAGATCCCTAGTCATCTAATTCCCACATCTCTTGTCCTTTCTATAGTCCTCATCTTACTGGACATTTGCTGCCTTTCTTACCACTGATCATCCCATCCCTTGGAGGCCCTGCATGCTCTCCTTATCTCTGAGAAGCCTTGTTCTTGCTTTTTTCCAAGCATCTTCCCTCTCTCCCATTCTGGAAACAGACATGCCTCAAGGATATCTCCTCTGATAGTCTCTGTTCTGTCTTTGACAGCCTGTTCACTTGCTTTTTAGTGCCATCTCTATTTAATGATTCCAAGATTTTTACCTCTAGCCCTGGCTACTCTTTCAAGCAGATAATTTCTCATCTTTCTGTCTGCTGGCTATCTCTCCTACATATCTTTGTTGCTCCTTGTGTTTATCAGGGAATGCTGACTTTGGAAACAAATAGTCCCAAGTTTTATATGACACAACATAGTAAAAGTTTGACTTATTAAAATTGTTTTTGTGTATATCTTTTCATTATTTTATTTTAGCAGTAGTAGAGATAGGTATGACCTTGTTTCAAGCAATGTATATTTCTGAAAACTTACTTTTTCAATCAGATTATAGAATACTTATATTTCGTATATATTAGAGAGTTGGCTGCTAAAATATTTGAACATCATTTTCTAGAAGAATTTGTGAATTGGAGTAGTAATTTTAATTTTAATGTAGCGATAGATTTCTGTATTTCTAATTGATTCAGAGTAAGGCATTCCTGTGTAAGCTGCTAAGAATAGAGTAAATTTTGTGAAATTGGAGTGTTTTTAATGGCTCAATATTTTGAAATTTGATTTTGATTTTTACAGACTTGAAGTTTGTCTATTTAGCTGTGTCTTCGTTGTGTTTCAGAACTGCGATTTGCTTGGGGACGAACTCCTGGAATGTCTCTCCTGGAGACGAGGAGCCCTACTCTATATGTATTGTCATTCTCTGACCAAAAGGAGAGAGTGGCTCACAAGAAAATCTAGTTTGCTTAAAAAGGTAAAAAGGCATTCCTCCTACATTTTTGATAATTGACATTTATAGGTTTCCAAAAGCTGTATATAGTATGGTATTAAGAATAGAGGAATCAAAGGGCCTGGGTTTGCATTCCAGGTCTTTTACTTACCAGCTATGTAATCTTAAACAAATTGGAATTACTGTGAAAATTAAATATGGTAACAGGTGAAGACCCTTTGTAAACTGGGAAGTTTTACCTGTTTTTTGTTTTGTTTTGTTTTTTAGTTCTAGATTTTTATTTTTTAAAATTCAAGGTAGATAATCTATATTAATTTCTAAGCATATTGTTTGGCCTGAAGAAAACAAACTTGATTGTGAGCCTCTATCAGCAGGTCACTCCTAAAACTCCCGCATGACCCTGCTTCTAGAAAATTGTGGCCCTCTGATTTGTCTTGACTCTTCTGACCAAATCAGTAAATCCAAAGGTCCTGTCGTTGTATCACTAAGGATCCTAACTTGGGTTGATTGTACACATGGTTTATGTGGGCCTGCAGATGAGAGGTCACTCCTTCAGACATAAAAGCTTGATCAAAATGTTTCTAAATTAAAGTAAATGCATCGATGTTTTTACAAGTTGTTGAGCACATCTTTATTATCTATATCTTTCTTTCCTCTTAATATTTTTGACAAGTATGTTACTGAATTATGTGTTCTTGGTTAATGATTTCTTTCGTTGTTGTTTTTTTCCCCCATACTCTTACTAATTGGAGGATTATACTTATAAAAGTTTTGGGGTAGTAGCTCCTTATAGCATTGTAATGTAACAGCCATAAGATATATCTATATGTTAGCCAATTTTCTCTTGAGTAAAGGATGGGGAAAAATAACATTTGAAATTTCTGCAGCTCTGCATATAATACTTAAATTCTTTGTCTTTGACTTTCATTTAGTACCTTGTTGATGGAATCAGTTACTTGCTACAGATGCTAAATTATCGGTGTCCTATTCAGTTAAATGAAGGTGTTTCTTTCCAAGACCTAGACACAGCTAAATTACTGAGTGAAGGTAATGTGATCTCTTTTTTCAGTTTTCTAAGTGTTTTAAAGCTTTTTAAAAATTTAAGACGTTTATTAGATTTAACTCTGATTTAAATAAATTTCAAGTTACATTATAGACAAAATAATAAAAGAGCTTTCAAAAAATTCAGTAATCTTCTCAGGTAATATGGAAAAATACTGCTAATCTCTTCCTAGTAATTTGGTGAGAGTGATATGGCATGTAGCTTTTACTTATTTTGCATCCCCACAAATCCCTGATCAGCCTCTAGTTTCTCTTGTAACAGAGACTGGAAGTAACTTTTTGTTTTTCACTTTTAAATTTTTGTTTATTTATTTTGAGGGAGTAGGTAATTAGGTTTGTTTGTTTGTTTGTTTATTTAATGGAAGTACTGGGGATTGAACCCAGGATCTTCTGAGCAATACCCTCTCCCCTGGAAGTAACTTTTAAAGGAGAAATTTACTGCTTTTTCACCTTAAAAAGGTCCAGAGCTGGGTATGGTGGCTTCGTAGCATCATCAGGGATCTTGTCTTTCTCTTTCATCATCTTTCGAAGTGGAGCCCCACAGCTTCAGAGGGAGGCACTTTGTATAGAATATATGTAAACAGTACTTGCCAGAGCTGTGCAACATGCATCCCTGTTGAGGATCTTTCTTCCATTCTCAGTATCTCAGGTTCCTTCCATCTCAGCTGTGTTTCAGGCTATAAAAATAGCCAAAGGATGTTTCTTTCATCCAGGTCTGCTCCTTTGGAGCTACCTTCTTGGAAGTTTCTTACAACTCCTGCATTTCACTGGCCAGAATTTAATAGCATGGCTTCATATAGCTACAAGAGAATCTGCAATAGATAGCCTTTTACATGATTTATCCCAAATAAATAGTCTCTTTTTCCAGAAAAGATGGGAAGAATGACTATTAAGTGATAATTATTAGTTTCTGTTATAAACATCTATGCCCTTAAACATGATAGGAACTAAATATAGAGCATCATTTGGGTTTTAGACTGAGATTGGAGAGGGAAGAACAATTTATTTTCACCATCTCTTTTTGCAAATAGAGGAACTGAGATCCTGATAAGCTAAATGACCTGTTCAAGGTGACATAGCTGACAAGTGATGTTAGATTATATGTGTAAACTTTCTTTTATACTTTATCTGAAATTTTGATGGGGAAAAAAGCGAATGGGGAAGAAGAAATTTCTTAGAGAAAATTCTATATTTTAGTTTTGTAAGTGTATTTTAATTATTCTTTCTTTGTTAGCTTCTGTAGGCTTTTCCTTTCTATTTGAAAGCATTGCATAGAAAAAGCACCTTAATTTAAGAATCATTAATTTATGACTGGCTACTAGTGTCCAGAAGTTGTTACCTTCAAACAGCTTGTCCTAAAAGAAACTTACTGTGGAAACAATGCACTCCTTCAGTGGGCATTTACCTGATTTTAGATAAAACTCAAAGCTGTGTAAACGTAGTATGATTTTTGTTTCTTTTTCCAAGGTGAGACAATCATTTTGTCCTTTGAACATTGCTTGTATGCCATTTTAAATTTTCAGCTTTTAAAAATTACCAAGTAACGTGTTTAGTAAACCTCTTTACCTCATTTCTGTGCTTCATTCCTCTCTGGGCCCTTATAAAAATAGCCTTGTCAGAATAACTCGAATTAAATAGGTTAAAAGGCTGTTTAGCTGTGTGCATCCTTGGTTTATGCCCTTTTTATATACTACTGAGGAACCCCCCACTTCCCAGCAGCCTTTGGTTCATTTCTTAGCCCAGAACCTGGATTACAGATCTCCTGAAGGAGCAGCTCTGAGCTGACTTCACTAATTACCTAAATAGCTTGTGAAAAATACAGATTTCTGTGTATTACCTGCAGGTTCTGACTTAGTATATGGAATCCAGGAATCTTTTTATAAGCTCCCATAATTATGATAATCAGATTGAGACATCACTGCTTCTAGCAGTTGCCAGTCTGTGAAAGTTTTTTCTTCTGTGAAAGTTAAAGATCTTTCTGCCCTTACTGTTACTTCATGGGTTAGTCACCTTCTCCCTCCCTGTACCCACTGCTATCACATGTGTGTTCATCAAGGATGTGAATAGTACAAAATGAAGTCTTTTATTGAAAACTGTGCTGAGCATTGGCAGAAAAAAAAGTCACAGAAAATTTGTAGCAGCAAAAAGACAACAGCTACAGAGCAGTGGCTTCCTTGGGGCAGTAGAGATGGAGAAAGTGCCTAATTTTTACATTATTCATCTCTTCATTTGATATTTTAACATAGTATAGTTGAACATAGTCTATGGACCAGCTCACCCTAGGACTTTGTTAAAAATACGGTTAAAAATACAAATTCATAGACCCAACCCCATACCTAAGTCTGGAAGTCTTGGAGGTGGGGGCCCAGTGATGAGCATTTGAGCATGTCGTCCAGGTAGTTCTAGTGCAGATTAAAGTTTGAGAACCACTCTTCAGCATACAGCTATTCATTCTCTCCCTAGAAACACCTTCCCACAGGGTATCTGTGTTTCTTGTTCAGCAGTCAATCCTTGTTAACAAAAAGAATGAGGTACTTTTAGAGTTGGGCATATGTTGGATCCCAAATCTCCCTTAAGCAAACACTCTTCATCTTTTACAAGTGGCTTCACTGGGGGAACTCATTTCAGTTCCTCCTCCCAAGGCTGTAGTCAAGTGTTTAAAAGTTCGGCCTTCCCTTCAGTTTTACTTCTATCTCCTTACTCCCCTCCACCAGTCTTTTTAGGAATAATTAAGAGTGTAGGATCACAAAAATGAAAAAGGATATGCATTCAATGAAATGCCGTATCTAATATGAAATGTAATTCTGCAGTGAATTTTGTTAATTTGGAAATAAGTAGGGCATGTGGAATCTTGAGTTTTGCAAACAGCCTTAAAGAGCTTTGGTGAATTGCACAAAGTCAGTGATTTACACCCAGATCTTTTCAGTTCTAGGTCCGTTTCTCTTTATATTCTGAATAACATCTAATGCTAGTCCAGCATTTTCTCTGAGGTTTATGATCTTTTAACTATGAAGGAATAAAGTGAAAAGAAATGATTATTTGTAATATACATTATGCTCATTGAGTGAGTCGTTCTGTACATAGAAAGCATAATTAGTAGAGTAGCCTATCATACTTTTATGAATGCAAGCCTCAGCTTCTGCTCTTAAATGATTAACTCCTATGTTGATACAATGAATCAGCTCTTGCTAAGCTTGTTCTTCTCTTGCTACTATTTTTAAGCTGAATTTGAGGTGAGGTGAAGGGGATAGCTGTAGGGACACACCCTGAGACTATAAAAAGCTTGTAATAGATTCAAGGCAATAGAAACTATAACAGTTTTGGAAGTTGAATTTTGCTTCTATTTCTATGTCTCTGATACTATTTTAGTCATTTCTGATGAGCTGTGTTAGGTGAGCACTGAGATTATGATGCTTGTTTATTTGAGGTAAACTTTTCAAATCACACAAGTACCTGTTTAATAGGATAGATCATTTATCTGTATTCTAGTGACTTTAAGAAGTTAGTTATATAATTTAATAGCACTTTATATTTTTATTTCATGTGCTTCTTAAGAAAATTCCATGAAATAAGTAGGGCATGTGGAATCCTGATTTTTGCAAACTGAAGCTTAAAGAGCTTTGCTGAGTTGTACAAAGTCAATAATTTATCCCCAGATCTTTACAGTTCTAGGTCTATTTGTTTTTATATCAAATTAATGTACTTTATGTGTCATAAATGTTTAATTATATAACATTGCCTTATTCCATAATAAGAATGCTTTCAGCTTTTGATGAACATCCTGCAGTGTATTTCTTTTTCCTGGTAACATAAGGCATCTTGGATATAATTTAACATCTTTGGTAATTTAGAATTAAATGGCTTCTCAGGGACATGATTATGCAGGATCATCTCTACACTCTTGTAGAAATTTATGAACTATATCATTGATCCTAGAATATACCCCAGAATAAAAGCTGTGTTCATGGATGGGACTGAGGGAGTGTTTGAGTACTCTGAAATTGTATGTGGAATATGGGGTGTATGTTCTGGGAGAGGTTCTGTCAATATAGATTAGATTCTCAAAGACATCTTAAAGAGAACCTCAGAAGGAGTAACACATTGACCTAAACAATTCTTTAAAAATAATTCTTTTTGAGGGTGGGTTTGGGCTGGCTTTATAGATAAAAAAGAGATAGAAGTGCCAATGAAATGAGGATTGTATTAGTGATAATTGGCTTTTCTAAGGATAGCCATTAAATAAGGAGGGAGAATGTTTAATGTTGCAAAAGGAATTTATTACAATCTTAATCACCAGGTTTCTTTTTACATTTTTAATTCTAATCTCTCAAATGACTTTCCCAGGAATATTTAGTGACATTCATTTGCTGGCTATGATGTACAGTGGAGAAATGTGTTTTTGGGGATTGAAGCATTGTGCAGATCAACAGCCAGAAAATCATGAATTGGATACTGGTGTTTCTGGAGCAAGTAACCCTACATGCAAAGAACCCTTGGATTTCCGAGAAGTAGGAGAAAAAATTTTGAAAAAGTATGTATCTGTGTGCGAAGGACCCCTGAAAGAACAAGAATGGAATACGACAAATGCAAAACAAATCTTAAGCTTCTTTCAGCATCACACTAACTAGTAAGTTCATCTAGTCCTCTTCAGACAGGAAGACAAACAAACAAACAAAAAGACTCATGAAATGGAAGTTCCAGAAAAGAAGACATATTGATATTGAGTTTAAAAACATTACAATACATGAAGATAGCCAGCACAGTTACCCTTTTTTAAATGCCGTCACCATCTTTCACTATATACTCTTAAGCCTGTGAGGGAACGATTCTTTAATTTCTAAGTTGGCATTTATGTTATTCTAACTACAGATATCCTGTAACTAATACTAAGGAGGAATCCAATTCATCTTTATAAAGATTTTTTCTTTTTATTTTAGGTTATTTTTTTTTTATTGTGGTACAATATACATAACATAAAATTGACTGTTTTAACCATCTTTGGATTACTTTTTAATCTCCCTATCTTGAAGTTTGCTATACTTCAGAGATTAAAATCAAGTCCCCTCACTGCTTTGGATATATGCTATGGATATGAAAATTGTCATAAGGAAAAATTATGGCTAATATCCAGTTACCATTTCTAGAACAAGGTAAATGATGAAACACTCCACAAAATAATTTTTGTTTAATTATTTTACCACATATTACTAATGGCATTTAAAATTTTTTAGTGTATTAGGCATTTTATAAACATTTTTAAATGATTTTCCTATTTTGTTTAATAGAATATGCATGGTTTATTCAATGTGTAATGAAGATAAAATCAAGTTAGGTTAGTCTGCTATTAGCTCATGTATCTTTAGGGCACAACTTTTCATATACTTTGAAATTTTAATATTTTTTGTCTTTAATAGTAGGGGTGAGTGACAAAGGTCAAGAGTCTAACCTGGTATCTTACTTACAGTCTTTCTGTCTACCTCAATTCTTATTATCATCTTGGGATGATCCTCCTGATACCTTGCCAATATCCTTGACCTCTGGGCCATTGACTTCATCACATTCCAGGAGCTTAACCCCAAGGCCACACTATCCTGAGTTTCTCTTTCTGAATCTTAAATTTCAATGATTGATGACAATTCTCATCTTTCCAGCTTTTTACTTCCTCATTTTTATTGCTGTTTTTCTCTCTTATTTCTTCTCTATTTCTTTAGCTTCTTCATAGCCTCCTTCTCTTGACTGCCTCCTTTTCTTCTAACCATCAGCCTCTTTCAGATTTTCTTCTTTCCCTATCCAGCCTCGGCCTTATGGGGCACCATATGAAGTGCTCTGCAATCCCTTCAAACACATCTTCCCCTTGTCCTTCAGCCTAATCATTCTGCAAGCCCTCAACATTGAATTAATTCTATCATTCTGCCTTCTTTTCTGAGTTGCTGAGTTCCATGTGAAGTTCCTGCAGCCCTTCAAAGTGGAATGCTTTAAGTATCTCACCTTCAGCTTTAGATGAGCCCTCAATGTAAGCCTTTTTGTAAGGTAAGGTAATGTGATGTAAGTCTGTTACCAGTGTGGCCCCCGTCCCTTTCCGACTGTGGCATCTAACTTTGTCATCAGTTTCCTCTGGCCCTCTGTCTCCTCCCCAGCGCGTGGCTCTTGGTTCTGTCTTACAGAAGATAGAGACTGTGAGGAGGCAGCATCTGTTTACCAGAATTGCCCTACTCATTTTCCCCCTTTTTAGAGAAAAAGAGATAGCCTGCTTCGTGTTGCGGCTCAGTCTCCGTTTTTCCTCTCCTGGCTCCCTCGTTTCCCCTGGGGCTCCTCTTTTTTTTCCTGCCAATATCCTGTAGGTATTGCTCTTTCCCAGAGTGCTATCCTTTTTCTCTTTTTTCTCCCTCTTCTCCCCCTTTTCCTTCTTTTCTTTCCTCTTTTTTGCTTTTTCACTTACTCGAAATACAGTCGACCCTTGAGCAACACAGATTTGAACTACGTGGGTCTACTTATTCGTGGGGTTTTTCCCAGTGGTGAATACTCCAGCACTACACAATCAGCGGTTGATTACATCTGCAGATACAGAGGAATCGCGGGTGTGAAGGGTCGACTATAAATTATACTCAGATTTTTTGACTGCCAAGAGGGTTGGACCCCTAACCCCTGAGTTGTTCAAAGGTCAGCTGGACTCTTAGGTGATATTATTCATAGCTATGGCTTCTCCCACCTGTGATGTTGGGCTGATACCCAAACTGCAGTTTGAATCCCAGCTACTCTTCTGCTCTCTAAACCTTTCTAACTGCCTGGTAAAAATCTTCACTTGGACATCCTGTAGTAATTTTAAATTCTACATGTTCAAGCAGCTCATCCTCATCGTTCATCTAAAAATCTTTTGCAGTTCATATTTTCTCTTTTTTCGATCTTTCACAAAGCAGGGCAACGCCGAACACTGCACCTGGTTTCTTCTGCTTGCCTTGCCAGCCCCATCTCTGCAGTTCCTCCTGTGAGATCATATTCTAGTCCAGTGTTCCTCAGGCTCCTTTCTGATGAACAAATATTCTGATAGAGCCTCTTGGGACAAGGAGAATCTCTCCCTATCTCTGTCTCCTTATTTATCACTACACAGTTAAGATTTTTATTTAACTTAGCTTTTGACAAGTTTTACTATGAAAATACCTTTGTGCTTTCTAAATATAAAGATGTAAATCGCAGACTGCCCACCCCCACGTCGCTCCTTTTGGAGCATTGTAGTCAGTCACAATTGTTTCAGTTGCTTCCCAAGTGTGCTGTGTCTTTTCCCTTGATACCCTTCGCAGACCTCCTTACTTCTGCCTGGAATGCTTTGCCCTTCATTATGGCCAAGTGACTACCCATTTATCCTTTAGGACTCAGCTTCAGTGATGTTGTATCCATAAGACTTTTTCCAGCCTTTTTCATTCAAAGCTACACGTTCCTTTGCTTCTGCTCCCTTAGTCTTCCCCTGCCATGTTACTGCTTTATAGTCATTTTTCTTATGAATTGGCAAACTCCATGTTTTAAAAATTTATCTTTATACATAGTGCTTACTGAACGGTAGGCTCTTAGTAATGTTTTTGAATTAATAAGAGATATGATTCTAAAGTGCTGTACTCTGCACAGAACGGTTACTGCCACTGGATTCCAAACTGCCATGCCCTTTATACCACTGGCTGACAAAGCGAACAGGGAATTACTCCACAGAGGAGTGAAGTATTACTTAAATTTTGAACCTGAGAAAATGAGAGAACTTTCTCTTCAGAAGCTGGGAACTCCCATTTTGCCATCACGACCCTTGTGAACCACTTGGGTCTCTCCCTGTTTGGTACACTGATGAGGGTACTTTTGGGTGCTTTTTGTACAACTTTTTCATCTCCCACACAATTGGAGAATAATTTGTAGACTATAACAGCTATAGTGCTTTTTTACTCTGATGTATTACAAAACAATGAACAACACTTTGTGTGTGTTAAAGCCTGCTAAATAAATTCTGTTTTATTTAGAATGGATTAATGTCAAGATTCCAAATACTTCACATAAAGAAAGTACTGTAATTCACACATCATCAAAGTACTATAATTCACTTATCAAGTATGACGTGCCTACTGCATGCCAGGTTTTATCCTAGGCATTGAGGATATAGCTTTGTAAAACACCAGAGTTTGTATTCTAGTGGAGGAATTTAATACACTTTAAGAAATAAGTGTGCAGCATGTTAAGTGATGAGTACTATGAAGAATAAAGCAGGGCAGTGGAGTGAGTGTGGCTCTGGAACGGGGCTCTGTTTTATTTAGGGTGGTTGGGAAGGCACCTGTAGGCACCTGTCTACTTGGGCATTTGTGTCTTCAGATTCCACCCCTTTGATTAAATATCATTAAGTGTGCCATTGCACATTTAGTATGTTCATGAAATTTCTCTTTCTTATGGAAGTTCTAATGCTGAATTAAAGAATGAATCACTACCTAGGAACTTCTTATTTTGATCGCATTTAAAGAGTGTCTCTCCAGTATGGTCTTTGCTAGTGGGTAAGTGATAACCTAAAGGCATTGTAGCATTTATTACACTTGGAGTTTCTATTTTGAGTTCTCTGATGGTTACAAAAACTTAACTCTGTTAAAGGATTTTTCCTAGTCCTTAAATTTGTATGCTTCTTTTCCAGTATGAATTTTCTCAGATTAACTAGGCTTTGAGACTTAGTTAAAGGCTTATCTGCTTTGCTGCATTTATAGGGTGTCTGGCTACCATGAATTGTTTGATGCTGATGAAAGTTTAGATCCTGACTGAAGATTTTCTCTTATTTCTTCGCATACAGTAGAGTGAGGTGAGAGTCATACCTGAAATCCCACAATAAAATTTACATTCCTACCTTTACAAGTTTATTAAAGTTGGAACTGTCTCTAAAGGCATTCTCAGATTCATTTTAATGCCATTAAAAAAAACCAACAAAACCCACTGCTGGCTGATGTGCTAGTTTTAGATTGCTTGTCACTTTTCTCTCTTCACCTTCCAGAGCTGCTCTTCTGGTTCCCATAAGGATACCCCTTTTGCCACAGAATCCAGGATTCTCTAGTTCTCTAGTATCACCTTCTTAACAGTATTTTTTTTTAACACAATATGAGTTACCATGTTATGGAAGTACTACATTAACATACACTTGATGTATCCACCGTTAAAGTATGCATTATGTTTTTGTGCTCCTGTTCCTTACTGTTCTTGGTTTTCTTACTTCTAGTGAAAATTTCCAAGTAAAATGTTTTGGAGTATATAAACTTTTTTTTTTAAATAAAACCATATTCCTATGTTTCTTTCTTGTTTCTTTTCTTTTCTATCTGGGTGTTGTGCCAGAATGAAAACTTTTATCATCCTCATATACTGTTTGTAACTGAGTGGGACCCTATGGAGCCTTCCTGGGACAGACCCCGCCGTGTCCTCCACTTGCCTCTTGTTTGTAGAGAAACTTTAGCCTCCTAGGCCTTCCCCGAGTTCCAAAAATAAATTTAATCAGAGAAGTGAGAAAATGCAGACAAAGGAAAATAGTCGAACAAGACAAAATAATAGTGGTTAGCCATTTAAGTCAAGGACCTCCAGTTCCTCCTCAAGGGCTAAAGATAATATTCTGAACCATATCCTTTGGGTTGTTTTGCAAATACTGAAATCCCTACCAGATGGAAAAAGTAACTGTATGCTGACCACAAGTATTTAGACCCCAGACTGGGTAGTTTAGTGGTTAGGAATGTGGGTTCTAGAGCCAGAGGCCTGAAATTAAATCCCAGCTCTGCTGTTTCCTAGCTGTGTGATTTCAATAAGTTATTTAACCTTTCTGTGCCTTAAAATTCTGTTGTGTAACACAGGAATAATAATAGCACCTACCTCACAGAGTAAGAGTATTCTACTTCTTAATTGAAGAATAAATGAGTTAATGTTTCAAGTGTTTAATTCAATGTCTAGCACATGGTAAGAGCTCAAAAGAGTTAGTTGTTACTATTACCATTTTCCTCAATGGCCAGTTCTGTGTATTGGCACACCTCATTCATCATGCTGAAAAATATCCTAATACTCATCGGCCGGGATAATGGAGTGACAAATTCTTGTTCTGGCCAGTGAGCACTCACTCACTGCCCTGCCCTCAGTGGTGCTGGCCATTCTAAATGGCAAGCAGCTTTCAGAGACGAAATCGCTGGCTGGATAGTCATCTGAAATATTTGTTAATTTTTAGAAGTTTTTCAGCCCCAGCCTCTGAGTGTGTATATACTCAATACATACCAATTTCTATTTTTACCAATCAGCTTGATTGACTTGGCTTCTGGTCTCACTCTTAACCTTTTGGTCTCACTCTTAAACACACAGGTCAGATGCATTTAATAAATATTAGTTATCTAAATATTATGCATACCCTATTTAAAAATAGACTACTCTAAACGATGGTAAATCCACATGATTGAGTAGCATAACACTTTAAAAAGCAAAGAGGAATATTTCTATAAAATACTATGGAGTGGTTTTATTAAGTGAAAAACAAGGTGATGAAAGTATATAGTACAATTTATTTAAGAAAGGGAATATAAATGTGTTTATAACATTGTTTGCTTACATTAAAAAAAGTTTAAAAAATGGTTACCTATGATGGGAGATGGGGGAGAGGAACTAGATGGACAGGATCAGGATGGAAACTAGACTTCTCTGAATATATCTTGAATTTTGTACATTTGGCTTTGGAACCATTTACTACATTGTAATAAAATAAGGTTGCATCATACTTACAGAAAATCCCTAAAAATCCAAAGCAAAATGAAGTAAATGAGTTATAATTGTGTAGTAAGTTGGTGGCTTCAATATACAGAAATGTTTCAATTATCTTTAAAGCACAGAAATTTCACACCGCTGGTGGAATATCCCCAAGGGCAAAAAGAACTGGAAAGAGATCAAACTCCTTGGTACTTGTATTGTCAGTAACTATAAAAATTAGAAATGTATGTAATTAGACATGATGATTTTCAGTGTAACAGAAAAGAGACACATGAAATTGAAAGTAAGTAAAAATTCTATCATTCTAAATTTGAATGTGAAATACAGTATAAACTCATTGTCTCTTCTTAAGACCACTAAATAATGTCCAAATGCCATTTCTCATTAAAACAAACGAGGGCTTCTTGGAGATAAAGCTGATTCTAGATCTTGTCAAGTGTGGTCAAATGGTTGATGAGGGACAATTTTTCTTTAATTCATCTAATAAAAGGAATTATAAAATTAGAGTAGCAACTTGTAAACAAATAGCAATTGTTGATACTTGCTAAATCCTTGAAGTGAAAAGCTTATGGGCACTTGATAATGAATGGGGCAGGCTTTTGAAACTGTCGACCAGTTTGAACATGAGAAAATGAGAATGGCTTATGGCTCCCAATCTTAGTACCGTATACTTATGAAATATTTTGCAAAAGAAACCCAAATTTGATCAGGCCTGAGAGAGGAATGTGTTAAAGATACCACTGAAACAGTCATCAAGAAAGTTCAGAATGTGGTCCTTAAAGTCCAGGAAGGCCAATGTAGTTTCTTTAACAAATTACAAGGGGAAATAAAGGAGGGGGAATGCATAGAATGAAAAAGTTTCAGGAACATGTCACCAAATGTAACATGTGGATCTTGTTTGGGTTATGAATCAAACCAAATATAGAAAAAATAAAAATAAAAAATCCCCCGCAACTTTCTTGGCAGATGGGGAAGTTAAACACTGACCAGATATTTGGTGATTTTAGTTGTTTAGGTGTGAAATAAATGGTACAATACAAATGCTTCTTAAAAGTTACCTTAATTTTTAGAGATACATACTGAGATATTTAGGGATGAAATGATATGTCTGGGATTGGCTTAAAAATAATCCAGATTAAAAATGATAATAATACAGATTTGGGGATGTGTGTATTAGACAGAGATAGCCATGGAGCAAGATTGACCATGTGCTGGTAACTGTTGAATCTTGGCTAGTGGATACATGGGATTTCATTTTATTATTTACTCTCCTGTAGATATTCAAACTTTTCCATAATAAAAAATGTTCTAACCCATTAGTTTACAAATGCTCACACTTCTTTGTAAGAGAACTGAGACTCATTTCAGTTCTTCATACTTAAACGGATTTTTTTTTTCTTGTGTTAGTTCTTTCATGCTCCTAAGAGGGAAGGAAAATGCCAATCTACTCATGGTTCTTGTCTGGAAAGCCTGGCAGAATTAAGCCTGCAATTGGATTGGTTTTTGGCCACTAACAATGATAATACTGCCACTAGCAAGATAAATAATGAAACTTTAAATTAAGATCTCACACAACCTCAGTTACTGGGCTTTATTGGATTTCTGTTATTTGACATTTAGCTCCCCAGATACTTACTTTTGAAGTGTAAATACAAGCTGATAAGCAATGTGTCCGCTGTTAAGCATTAAGCACTCTGCTATGTGGAATATAGATACAGACATAGACAGAGATACAGAAATGGATACAGATATAGGTAGAGAGAGAGAAAGAGGAACAGAGAGGTGCATATATGTTAAATGTATGCATTTAGATATTTGTATGCGTACACATATCCCCTGTAGCCTATCATGATCCTTAAGGACTTCAAAGATTTTATAAAGTTGCTGATCCTGCCTTCTATTTTGAAGACGATAAAAAAAAATGGGGTTAATTTTTTAAACAGGTGCTTTGGGTTATATGTGAGAGAATATTTTGACAATTGAGACAATAAAACAACGGTGGGCAGATGTTGTTTGCAAAATTTAGAAACTTCCATATTTGATGATTTTCACGAAGACACTGGATAGTTGCATGTCCTGGATATTCAAAAAATTGCTGGTTGACAGTGAATTTAAACCAGCTTATATAGAGATATTAAGCCCCAGGACACGGGAGAGGGCCATCTGTTGAGTAAGTGGGAGTTGCCCAGGCCCACGCAAAGTGGAAATAGGTCCCAGACCGAGGGAACACCTTGGTTAAGTATTAAGGGGCGAAGGGCAAGAGATTTGACAAGGGGTGAGGTTAGCGTGGCTGAGGTGGAAGACTGACAGGAAGGGAGCAGTGATGGTGGGAGCCTCAAGCGCAGCTGGGAACCATGCTCAATTGAGCCACCTTTCTGTTCCCTTCCGGCTCCGGAGGCTTTCTCACCTTGGGGTGGGGGTGGGGGTGGCAGGCCCCAGAGAGGGAGG